GTAAGGGGAGTTGGGAAGCAGCTTAACCATATATGGGCAATTTAGACTGGCTTGATTGCCGGCCAGGCAGCTGGGGCCCAAAGAGCCAGGCAGGAGCTCAGGAAGGGAGGGGAGAGGTCAACAACAGGTTAAGAGGAGTCACGATGCCAGGCAATAAGGGGGGGGGGGGGTGGCTGTTAATGGTTGTAAGGGGAGTTGGGAAGCAGCTTAACCATATATGGGTAATTTAGACTGGCTTGATCGCCAGCAGGGCAGCTGGGGCCCAAAGAACCAGGAAGAAGCTCGGGGAGGAAGGAGAGAGGTCAACAACAGGTGAAGAGGAGTTACGATGCCAGGCAATAAGGGGAGGGGGGATAAATAGAGGGAGGTTTACCCAAGGCGTTAGTTTTAGCAATGTTCTGTTTACAAGCTACATGTACCTCTTAATAAAGAAGTATTTATCTGACCCAAGCCTGGTTGTGTGAGAATGCTTCAGAACTGAGAGGTGGACATCGTGGACTTGACAACTGCATTTTTTCCCTGAGCGATTGTCAAACTCTAAAATATGTGTAGTGATGTACAGAGAGATATATACATCTCAAACTGAGTGACCAAAACATAATGAATGACATAGAAGGAGAGTGTGGGATAAGCAGAGTATTAAACACATTAAAAAAAAAAAACACAAGGAAAATGAGCCAAATGAGAATTAACTGTTAAGGGATTTGACTGGTAGGAGAGCAGCAAAGCACAGGAAATGTACTTAGGGAACAGAAGATATTAAATGGGAGTTTGTAGGTCATAAGAGTATAAAAGAGGCATGGAGGAAGAAAAACTGCAGGAAGGTAATTTAGAGCAAAAGAATTAAGTTATTTGAAAGTCAACAGAAGTTTATATTGTCATCATTATCATTCATCATGTATGAAAAGTTTCTTCTGTATTCCCAAATTGGTAACTCAAAAATGAATCATATCCACATAGACAAGCCATCTGTTGTGTCCCCATATGCTTTCAGTGATTTCTAGTTGAGTGGATGGGTAAAGTCAGGACTATAAATTTTCTTTTTTACCTACCTCACCTAGAGATAGCATTAAATACTTATACTCAAAAGGCTCAACTGTTCTCCCAGTGGGAACTTAAGATCCATCCTGAAAGATACATGTCTTGAAGACATAAATCCCGTTAGACCCTAAATGTCTGCTGAAATACAACAAAACTTTGTTGCTATGGTTCCAACCACTTTTTCCTTCAAGTCAAAGAATATTAGAATGGCAATATATTATATTTGGATATAAGTTCCATATCAGGCTTAATTTACTACTTTATTTCTAGAATATACATTTCAAGAGCTGCTTTGTTGTTTAGGGTGTTTTGTGATATAGCACAGGGAAAAAAGGGAACATCATGGGCATTTAAATTTAAAGAGTTCCACTTGCTTTATTAAAAACATAAGCCTGATAAAACTCTCTCTTTCTCTCTCTCGTGTGTGTGTGTATACACATATGCAATACATTATGTAACTTAATGTGTGTGTATGTATGTGTGTGTATATATACATACACGCCTACACATATAATTATGTAACTTGTGTGTGTGTGTGTGATATATATATATATATAAAAATACACACACACACACACACACTTATGTAACTTACTGTGTAATTATACCCCAAGTCTTTCCTAATGGAGCTTCTTCAGTTTATGGATTTTTTTTTAAATCAGTATTTCCTTCTTTAATATAAATTGGAATGTCATGTGCGTGTAACTAACCTGACTTACATCTGAAACATTTTCTAATTTAGCCACCAATTTACCTCTGCCAACTTGGCTTTAACTTTTGGAATACTTTGGTCTTGTTGAATTGGTATTAAAGGTAGGCCACCGATTTTTGGATTTTTCGTAATCGACTGCTTCCTTGTCTTCCCACTCGGTGGACACACAGTACTGTGCTGCGGAAGAAAAAAAAGGAAGGGTCTTTTGTCACCAGCTCCACTGTTAGGTAGGGCAAACCATTTACAAATCATTAGAAATGGCAGACCATGTACGAAACAAAACAATTGTTCTGGAACCACCTGGAAGTCCATACGTGATAACCCAGCTATGAAATGGCAGTCCGGAATAAAATGACGAGCACTCATTCCCCAAAACTGATGGACATACCTCCAGACAAAACTTAGTTGTCCTAGTGTGTGTGTGTGTGTGTGTGTGTGTGTGTGACATGTGAACAGATATCTAGGCATAACCATAAACCCAGAAAAGAACCCTGATGACCTTTGATCCAGAAGACAATCTCTTCCAGACTGATGCCAACATAGACCAACCCAAGCATTGTGACTGGCAAACACTATTCTCAAGGTTTATCTTGATGGTTTTTGGTAGCCCCATCAATCACTGATCGTTAATATCAAAATGTCTCATGGGCAGATTTTAAATGAACATTGCATACCTTTTACTGTTCTATACTTATTGTACATGTTTTACTGGTTTTAGCATTATTCCTTCTATGCATGTTTTTAACTGCATAAACTTATAGGAGTCCAATAAAATTAGCAGGATACAAATCAAACAAAGAAACAAAAAATAAAACAAATAAAATAAAATAGGAACATCTGGTCCAGAATGAAGAGGTAAGGGTGGAAATATTTTCTGTTCATCCAGATGAGGTGGTGGGAGAACTATAGAGAGAATGAAACCAAAATGTATATGCTAGTGGCATCCAGGGAGGGGTGCATAGTATAGGTGTTTATGAATGTTTTATAATTTGAGGGTGTGTGTGTGTGTGTATGTGTGTGTATGAGAGAGAGAGAGAGAGAGAGAGAGAGAGAGAGAGAGAGAGAGAGAGAGAGAGAGAGAGAGA